AAAAAAAAAACAAAATTCATAAAAAATTATATTACTCATTTATTCATACCCAATTATAAGAGCTGGATTAATTCCATTAAGTTTTAATCGTGCACTTTTAATTCGATCTTTTGCATAGATATCATCCGAACGAAGTATATTTATTTATAGAAAAGAAAAAATTCGTTATTTTTTATTTCATTTCCATACCATTCTGTGCAACTTGTTTACTTGTTTTAAGTGCATGTTCCTATAATTAAAATTAGTTTTGTGTGTGTTTTGTTTTTATAATATAAACAAAAAACTTGCCATCCATTCCATTAATGGTTCTTTAATAAATACATCCATTGTACTAAGTAATAAATCCGAATTTTGACGTAATGCATTCATTCTATAAATCATTGTTGCACGAAATAAACCAGCTGTACCAATACGTGACATTAATTGTGTAAGTTGTCGTGTTAAACGAATTGGTATTAATTCTGGTACGGATAAATGCTAAAAGAATAAATACAAAAAAAAAAAAGAAGAATTTTGTTTTTCTATATTTAATAATATAATTTCATATTTACAATCGTAGCTGCATTAAATGCTGAACCAAAATCAATACCAATTATTTGACCAGATGATGTATCAATAAGAAAACTAAATAATTTTATAAAATATAAGTATTACATGGATTTCAGACTTGACTCAAGTTTATTTCATTAGTATCCGTAAAAAATCTTATCCATTTAAATAGTTGGTTTTAAGAGTATGTATTTTCATTAAAACATCGTACTCAGCAAAATAGCATAGTCCAAATACATACATACTCATACTAGCTCAACCTTGATATGGTATAGTGTCATCTAAATCCCTACTGCTAAATAGAAGCCTGAAGTGTGATTTGATTTAATGAGGAAATGTTTTCAACTTATCAAGTGCTTTCTCATTCAAAGTTAATTGACTATAAGTTATTAATCATGGATTTGAAACAAAAGAAGTTATTATTTTCTAGACAATTTGATAGGGTCTATAATCTGGACAGATTAAAAGAGACTTTTGGCAAAAAGTTTGTTCGTCTTGAAAAGTAACTTATAAAGGTCTAAGGGAATTTGTCATAGTCCTATTCGAAATCACCATAGTCAATAACTTGAAATCCACTAGCTTTCGATGAGAAAGCAAGCGATCAGTTGGAAATGTTCCTTCGTAAGAACATGTTTTTAATGAATATGCATACTGTGTTAAGCACTACAGGGTGTACCAACTATTCATAGGAATAAGGTCTTTTATGGAAATTAATAAGATAAACTTGGGTTTAGTCCTTCGAATATTTAACATACTTCAATTGATGTCGATCAACAATACCAAGTATATATTGACTTGTACATAAAACAGCATAACTTGTTATAAATTGTCGACGTAATGCATAAAAAGCCTGATGAGAATTAGCTATTTTATAATAAGCACGTCGAAGTAAATCAGCAGGTATAACTGATTGTATATGATTAAATTCTTCTTGAACTTGAGCTTTTGTTAAACTAAGAAATAATTCAGCATACATTATTGTATTATTAGCTGTTGGTTTAGCTTTTTTATATGTATTTGTTAAATAATCTTGATAAAGTTTTCTTGGATGTTGACCTTGATTTGTTATTATATCAAGTTGATTATCATTATATGATTCTTGAATAAGATCTTTTAATGGACGTGTATTATCAAGCCATTCGATCATACCCAATTTTGATGACATTGGAATAACTAAAATAATTATATTTAGAAATTTTTCTCTTGATTGAAATTTATAATTCTATGTAATTCATTCATTGGATTTGTCATTTTTATCTCGTAATTAGACGTAATATTATAAAAAATCGTTTTATTTAATAAAGATGATAAAACTTACGGTATCATCTCGATTTGTTCTATTACAAAATTTCAAAATACTAATATTCATTCTCATCTGCATAACCGATTTCTATTATAGAAAGCGAAGAATTTATATAAGATAATTTAATAATTTATAATTGTTCTAGTATAGTTGTATTTGAGAAGAACGTAAATTCCATAAAATGAACAAGATTTTGTTCATATATAAGAAAATTGGTCCCATTATATTTCACGTTCAAAATCTTTTCTTTCGTTAAGGTACCGGCAATTAGTTACAAAAAGAAAAATTCTACACGCTTTTTAAAAAAATTTTTGTTTAAGTATTAAAAAGATCGTTCTTTTTTTTCGACATGATGGTAAAACATCATAAATACAGATTTCTATTCAGAAATTTTCATCTCAATAGAATCATGCAGGTTAGATTATTCGAAACCAGTAACGAGATGAAACCATCAGAATTTGACGAAAATGTGATCATAATCTCTGAATATAAACCTGTATTTATGGTGTTTTGCTGTCATATTGGAAAAACAATTCTCTTAACAATCAAACAAAATTTAAAAAAAAAAGCATAAATAGATTTTGTACAAACTATATGACGAGTAAAACTAGAAGTGAGTAAGTCCGAGTAGAACCCCTCGCAATAGAAGATCCTTGACCTTCTATTATGGATAAGACTTGAAGAGTATTGACTGTTCGAACTACGAGTACGTGTCTCTGAGTACAATGAAAAATCGAGTCTAATGAAACTTAATGTTTTTTGGTGTATTCCACTTTTTCTGATTGTTTTTTTTTGAATATATTATTCCTACATGTCGCTACACTTCAGAAGAAAAAAGAAATTCTTTGATCAAACACTTAACAACTAATTACCTTTATAAGTTCGTAGAGCAATATGAGCTGAATTTTGATTGATTACAATTTGGATCATTGTCATAAAGATCATTGATAATTGAAAATAAAGGTTCAATACGTTGATCTTGTCGTATATCTTCTCCAGCTTTAACTAAAAATCTATAATCATTTTCATCATGTCCACGTATTGTTATACGTTTTGGTAAACGTAATGAATCAAGTACCAAAAGTTTTTCATCAAAACCAACAATTTTAATATGATGTTCAATTAATGGTTTTTGTTTTTTACTTGTATATTGTCCAGGTATTTCTAATTGACGTATAGATGATTTATCTAATATACGATTTTGTTGTCGAAATGTTGCTGAAAAGCATGTTGAATAATGATTTATATTTGTTTTATCTTGTATAATATTTATTAATTTTAATGATATATTACCTAATATTAAACGTGTATCACCTAATGATATTGTTGATAATAATTCACCATTTTTACCAAATAAATCATTAAATTCTTTTTCAACAGGATTTTTAAATAATATTCTTATTTATGTTATTTTAGGTTTTAATAATGTATTATCATCTATATCATTATTATCTTCTGTATTTTATAATATTAATTGTTGATCATTTGTTTCATCAAGATTAATTATATGAGAAAAAAGTATTTGTTTAAATTTAATTAAATGTTCTTGAAGTTTATTAATATCTCGTGTATTTGAATTAGATGTTAATAAATGAAATAATTCTTTTGACCATGTATCAAATTGTTGTTGAGGATTTAATTGATTTAATGGTTCAATAAATTGATTAACAAGTGGTGTATAACGATTTAATTGGTGTTGAATTAATTCAAGATTTTGTTTTAACATTGGATCTTGAATTGAATATTGTAATGTTTCATAACTTAATTTAAATGGATAAACTATTGATTGTGGATAAAGTTTAACAATTTGTTCAATTACTGGGTATAATTTAAGGCTTTAAAAAAAAAGAAGATTTAAATGTAAAAATTTAATTAAAATATTCTAATTTGAATTTTACTAATTATTAAAAGTTATAATAATGATAATTTTTATAGTTGTAAAAATTTTAATTGAAGATATTCTTAAAATTTCAGGCGAAGAGAATATTCCTTTGTAGAGATATTACTCTATCACCGAAACTATTATAACTCGACTTCGAAGATTCATGGGAACAAATCCCTTTAGGCCTTTTTTTCTAGTTGTACCGAAAATTGTAAAGGATGATTTTGTTTTTTTGAAAGTAATCTTTGAATAAAATGATAATTAACTTACGCAATAGGTTTATCTAAATATGCAGTTATTTTATATAGACAATAAAAAAACATCCAACAAGGAATTTCTTGTAATTTATCATCAATAAAATCCATTTGTTTTT